CTCCTGAACACCCACCTCTCCGGCCTGCGCCCCACGCCTCCCCTCACCTTCTTGCCAAGTCCTTGGCGCCGATACCAGACCCAGGGAGTGACCTCGGGCGGGTCACAGCCCTCTCTGATCTTAGTTCTCAGCCGTGCAGCTCAGATAATAACCTGCCTCCCTGGTCCTGCTGCTGATGGGCAGTGACAATGGAGCAACGTCTTTAGCCTAACAAACACGAGCTGTTGTTTCGCCCCTCTGCTGAGGCGGGGTCTGGAGGGCCCCCCCGCCCCGGCCCACCCCACCATGGAGACTGAGTTTATTGATCCTGATGGATTTTATCAAATACTGGCCACCAGGTACTTTTCTGTGCAGGCTGCACACGATGCATCCTTCCCACCGTGTGCAGGAGGAATGATCATTCGCCCCAGTTTACTGAAGGGGAAACTGAGGCACACAGCCCCGGCTCACACAGCTGCACAAGGCAGAGGCGGGGCTCATGCCTGGCGGTCTGGCCCGCGGAGCTCTGTGCGCTGCCACCCCGAGGGCTGGTGGGTGACACCTGTGTGCGCTGCTGGGGTCCCCTGCTGCCCTGTCCTGGTCCCCTTCTGCTGACCTCCACACTCGCTTGGGGCGGCTCCCTCAGGCCTCTGCGCCCCAGCATTTTCTGGGGCTCTATTCCCGGTGAAGCCCAGGGCCCCACCCCCGCGCCATCCCCCTCACCCCTGGCTTCACCTAGGCTGCTGCGAAAAGGTGGTGGTTTCCATGGACATGCGTCTCCCGCTGGGACACGCCCTTTTTTGTATAACTCTGTTCCCTGGAGTTGATTGTTTTTGGCATCCAGCTCAGTAAACTCATCCAACAATTAAGAGGGGGGAGGGGTGGAACAGAGAGGAGACAGCAACTGTGGGGTGGGCGGCAAGCAGTGGGGGGCTCTGGGCTGCAGGTCTCTGCTCTGTCCCCTGCCGAGGCCGGATAGCACCTGGAGTGCAGAGAGGCCCCATCGCCAGCTGGCCGGGGGTTCCGTTTCCCGGGCCCTGAGAATTCCCCAGGGCCACGTTCCCTCTGCGGCCCGTGTCCTGGCCCCGTTGATGCCCCCCGAAAACCTGCAGGGCCCGTGCTGGCTCTCGCCCCCGCCGTCACAGGGGCCACTGGAGCCCTGCGCTGCTGGCTCAGGCCTATTTGAATATCGGCCACCCTGTTTTGGTTAATTGTGTATGTGTTTGCTGTGTTTGTGTACCGTCAAATACCATCAAATACCGCCTGCGCTGGGCACACCCGTCCTGGCTGCGTGAGATCACAGATGAAAAATGCAGTGAAAAACACTTTCGTGCCACAACACATCACGTAGGATTTTTTGTATTAAGATGTGGATTTTTTTATTGTTTTTTTTTTTTTCCTTTTCCATACAGCTCCAAAGTTGGGCAATACGCACGTCTGTGTTTTTGTTTTCACGCCGGGTGGTATCTGAAATCTGCTCATTAGGGCCCTGGCCTCTCCCCACCCCAGCCCAGGCTTCCACGCCTTTAGCCTTCCAGTGTCTCTTCTGCGGAGAGAGTGGGCACGCTCCTCACACCTTCACCCAGGTGAACATAAGGGGGCCCTGTCTCCTGGGAGTGGGGGGGGATAACAGGAATCTCTGCGCCCTCCCCCCGCCCCCCCGCCCTGGGGTAACACTCCTTAGCCGGCCCCCTGTCGGGAGAGAAGAAATGGAAGTGGTCCCGCCCGGATGGACTCAGAGTGTCCCCTTGGCTTGGTGACCCTTGGAATTAGTGTGGCCTTTGGCTGGGAGGCCTTCTGCCCCCATCCCGCGAGGGGCCAGGCGGCCATGGCCGGCTCAGTCTTTGCCCCCAGGAGGCCGGACGGCAGCTGGCCCCGGCAGTGGCCTGTGCCTTCCCTGGGTGTGATGTCCGGCTACTTCCTGTTGGTCCAGGGTGTCTGGCGGCGGTCTGCTTGCAAGGCGGGAGATCCGCGGTCTGCGAGGAGACGTAGCGTTAGGTGTGGGTGGGGTCAGAACAACTTGTGGGTCGGGCCAGCCCCTAGTACGGTGCTTTCGAGCTGTGTGAGCTCTGGCAAGTCACCACCTTCCCTGATCTGGCGGGAACACACGTGTCCAGCCGTTTGCTGTGCCTGGCCACTAAGGCATCGGCTCGGTAATGTCCACCCTCATGGAGGCCTCCGGCCCAGCGTGGCGTCTGGTGCAGAGGATGCGCTCAGTGGCTCTGCTGGGATTAGCTGGAGGAGGTTCGGGGCCTGAACAGTCTCCGTGAAGCTGCAGGTTATGCAGCTGTGGTGCTCAGGAGACACAGAGCCAGCCCGGCTTCGGGGAACCGAGGAGAGGGGCGCATGGAAGCGGCCAGGGGAGTGTCCTGCAGAGGCCGGGGAGGCCGCACAGGCCCCTCGGAACCGGAGCAGTTCACCCCACATGGCCCCAGACTGCCCCCCTGGTGGGGGCTGGGGACCCGAGGATTAGGACCCGCTTTGCCCATGAGGAGTTAAAGGGCCGGCGGTGGAGCCCGACCTGTGAGCCATGACCGGGGTCCGGTGCGGAGTGAAGTGCCCCCGGGACGGCGCGGGTGTGGAGGGGCACGTGGCCTTCTCGGGTGGATTCTGGAAGGTGATCTCGAGGGGACCTCAAGCAGGGGGTAGCTAGCGGTAGTTGAGGGTGTTTCTAGAGAGCGTCTGACATCTCATCTCCTGGCTCCCGCTGCCCCCAGCACATCAGCTGGGGGGTGGGGGGGGGGCGGGACAGGGGCTCCCTGCTGACAGGGGGACAGGCCTGCAGCTCCAGGGCAGAACTGGACTCAGATCCCGCCTCCGCTCCGGCCCGGCGTTCTGTCCGTCCCTGCACGTGGCTTCTCACCCCTTCACCCTGGAGCTGCTGGCCAGGGAGACGCCTCCCCCGGCGCTGCACCCACGCACCGGCCCCCCCCACCCCCCACACCCCGACGGCTCTGGGGCCTGCGCTGTGGGCGGGTTGCGTCCATGGTGGCGGCCCGGGGCCTGTGCCCTGGCCTGGGGAAATGGGTCAGGCACTCTGCTGGGGACAGTCCTGGAACAGGGCCACACCCTGGCAGGGCTGGAGGATGGCAGGAATGGGGAAGGCCGAGAGCCGGAGGAGGAGGCTGACCACACCCCTCGATCAGCTGCTCGGCTACCCCAGAGGGCTCCGCTCCTGCGGCCTGGGCCCCACTCTCTGCTGTGACGCTCCCTCTGGCCTCAGAGGCCCCCGACATTGCGGTCACACTGGGTCTCCCCAGCTCCTTCCCAGGAGCCAGGGGTGTGGGGGTGCTTTGGAAGCATGTGCGTGAAGGAGGGTCCTGGACTCCCGACTAGAGGCTGGTTTCAGGGCGGGGGGCCGTTCTGGTGGGCCTTGGAGTAGAGACCCCCCAGCAGAAGGGTGTCCTGGGGCTGGGGGTGCTGAAGGTGATCTGAGGCACCCCTTCCTCTGACTCCTACGTGTTCGGCTACCAGGGCTTGTGGGGGGAGACGCACAGGCGTCTCTGAGCCTTGAGGAGTGTCTCCCAGTGGCCCTGAAGTTCCCATTAAAGTGTTTTTTCCTCTTTTTTAAAGAAAAAAATATTCCCAAACTGGAAAACAAAGGAAATCCACTTCCCCCAAATCACACGAAACTCACATTAGGGGCCTGGCGGGAATCCATGGAAACCGGAAACCCGCTGTTAACCCTGTAGGAGCTGAGGGGCGGGGTGGGGTGGGGGCTGGGCCGTCCCTGCCCCGGCCTCCCCCAGGGAATGGGTCTCGGGAGCAGAGTGGGGTGGAGCTGACGCTGGAACCCTCCAGCACCTTCGAAGCACCAGCTCCCTGCTACTCACGGCCCAACCTTGGCGGCCACACAGGCGGGTTTTGCGCACTCCAGGAGGCCCGGGGGATCCCAGGGCTGGGCCAGGTCGGAGAACCTGCTGGGCAGCTGCCCACACCATGCCACCCTGCGGAGTCAGCCGAGCCCACTCACCCCGGGAGCACGGGCGAAGCTGTAATCGGGGAGGAGGAGCAAAGGGCGGGCTTCCAGCCGCCGCCCGGCCTGCCGCCGGCCCCCTGTGCTGCAGCCGGGTGGGTGTGCGTGTGGCCGGCCAGAGAGCCCCACCGCGGGCCCCGCACCCCACGCTCACGTCCAGGGGCTGCCCCTCCAGGCCCAGGAGGCTTGGGTCCCGGTCAGCCGTGTGCTTGCGTTTGCATGGACACGGGCTCATTTTTCTAAAAAGGCTGAAAATATTTACAGGTTTGAAGTTGAAACGCAAACAGGAAAAGCCCTTTAAAAAGTGAGTGTAGTGGATATTCAAAACAGGAATCACCATGGAAACGCCACAATATTTGCTTAAATTGACACAAAGGTTGCCGGTCGCAGGGCACCAACTTTCTTTGACCACATTTTTCTGGCCCGACACCTATCACGCAGGAATCTCAACGGCCCCCTCTCCGGCCGGGCGCGCACACCCTCTGCTGGGATGAAATGACCCAGGCGCCCTGTGGACGGGGGAGAGGAAAGCCGGCTCCGTCCGTCTGGGGTCGCTGCGGGGACACCTGTCTCTAGAGACCCCATCAGGTCGCCGGGAGTCGCGGAGCCGCTGGGGGCCTCTGGGAGCGGGAAGGCTGGGGCCCGAGGCCTGGCTCTGTGCGTGGGTCTGGCTGGTTTCTAGCGTCAGCTCGATCCGTCGTCAAGCTGACCTTTTACCCCGGCCGAGCTCTGGGTGTGATCCTGTTGTTCCTGGGGGTGGCTCCTGTTGGTCTGTTATTGTTTCTACCTGTTTGATTCTTTTATTGGGTGTGACAGCCACGTTACGATTGGCTAGTATTGAGCAAAGGGCGTACGGGTTGTAGGGCCGGGCATGGCACGCACGGTGGCAGTGCCATCTGCTGACTGCCAGGCAGGGTCCGGCATCGCTGACCTCGCTGGCTGGCGACCGGGTGCCGTGTGGGAAACTCCCGTCATGGTGTTGGCTGGAGGAGACTCGTGGACAACGACGACAGCTAATCTCTGCTTCCCCGTCTCGCTTCGGCAGGCGAACCCACCTGGCTGGCTGACGGCGAAACCCCTCTCATCCCGCTGCCCCTCCAGCAGGCCCGGCCGTCGCCCTCCCCCGGCCAGGGGTCCCGCAGCTCCAGAGGTGTGTGCTGGAATGGACTTCGGACTCCCGCCTCTTGGAATGCAAAGGTAGGGTGGGAGCTGTGACGGGCCGGTGGGGGCCTCCTTCGGGGAGGGCCCAGGAGCTCCCCTCAGCTTCTCGTCGGGGTGCGGGTAGTGCGCGCTTCTTAGGTGAAAGCAAGAAAATGCAGGGTTGAGAAAGAGGCCTCAGAGCGGGTGCCTGGGTCTTGACCAGACATTGCTGGGGACACATGGCGTGCGCCCTCTGCATCTCGGGTTCCCCACCCGTAAGATAGAGAGGTTGGAATAACCGACCTTTCAGAAGCCTCCCAGCGTGACCTTGGCTGACCTTGAACGATGCCGGCGCGGAGGGCGCCCCGGCACGTCCCCGTCATTCCGGCGTCGTCTCTGAGGCGCCTGTCCGTCCACCTGTGTGTCCAGAGACCCAGCTCACGGGCCCCTTGGGGCTCTCTCGGTGGTCCCCCAGAGCAGGCAGGGCCCCCCGGAGGGAAGCCACAGGTGTTGCTGGATCCAGGCTGGGAAGTTCCCCTTGGTCAGGGATGCTCAGTCTCTGCGGTGGGGACATACCAGACGCGCCTCTGGGGCAAGGAGGTGGCTTTCCACGTGCTGTCAGTCCGCCTGGAGGGTTGGTGTCTGTGACCAGGAAGGGCCAGGTCCGGGTGGAGGGCTGAGCTGGGGGGCCAGCGAGTCCCAGCCCTGCGGTCCCTGTCGGCTGTGCCCTGCAGCATGCCCCCTCCCAGCCAGGCTCAGCGAGTCTGGCCTTTGAACTGCCAGGCGGAGCAGTTGTAGAGATGGGTGGCATGGTGCCCGCTGGGGCTGGCGTGTCCCCAGAGCTGTGTCCTGCCCCGCCACCTTGGGGATCAGCACCAGCCCTGGGTCCAGCCCTGGGGCTTTGCAAATCAGATGTAAATGTGGCCTTGGTTGCCGGGTGCCGCAGCTTGGGCCAAGACGCCTCTTCCCGGAAGAGCATTCGCAGAGAGCGTTCCCAGAGAGCGTTTCGCTCAGGAGTGGGTCGCCCACGCTTGAGGCCCCGCTGGGGTCTCCCGAGGGCTGTTTGGGGTGGGGGCTGCCACCGTCCTGCCCTCTTCACGCACCACGCCCGTGTGCCTCCGCCTTCCGGGTGCAGTCTGCCCGAACTGCCTTCCTTGGGGATCGAGGTTCTGGGAAGGCCGGCCACGCCCCCCAGCCCCCCGCCCCCCTCTTATGAGCAGGTGGCTGCAGTGCCGGCCAGCCGAGTGCCCTCCGAGGGGGTGTTAGCCGTTCTGTTCTGGTGGCGACTTCTTGTTGTCTTCATTCCCTCAGCAAAACATGCCCATTAGTTTTTCCCTTTCCGAAGTTTCCACTCACGTTGACTCCCAGGGGCCGAGCCAGCTGGGATTTGCACCCGGCATAGGACATGGGCTCCAGGAGGCCTGGGGGACTCAGGCATCCTGGCATCGGCCGTCTTGGGAACTCAGAGGCTCTGACGAGAATGCGGTGGCCGAGCCCGTCCTCTGCCGCCCAGCCCTTCCTGGGTGCTAGGCTGGCCCAGGCCAGCCCTCTGGGGCCCAGGGGCTTGTGCCTCGGTGTCCCGCCTCGCACACCGGAGTGTAAGCTCAGGCCTGGTCAGACTCTGTTTAGCTCAGGTTCTCCTCTTTTCTGGCTACTCCACAGCAGATCTGTTTGCATGTACTCAGCAAGCAGTTGAGGCATGCCTGGTGTCCACCCAAGAGTGGACAGGACAGGCTGGTTGGGAATTGTGGAGTGGACAAGACCACAGAAAGGATCAAGGAGCCTACTGGTGCGAAGGGACCTTGGATGAGGCGTGGGAAGGTGCTAGGTGGTGGGAGAGGGCCTCTTCGGGGAGGTGACAGTTGAGATCGGAGGACAGAGTGGACAGCTGTTTGAAGAGCAGGCAGACTGTCCCAGAGAGCACCACCAGCCGAGAGGAACCATGTCAGACTGAAGGAAGTCCCAATGCTGGGTCCAGATACGTCAGGCTTGGGGTGCCGGGGAAGGTGGGGATTTGTTCTGCGGGTGACAAGAAGCTGCTACAAGATTTTAAACAGGGAGGTGCAATGACCCGATTTTTGTTTTTAAATGATATGTGTGGCTGCCATGGGGAGGGCAGGCTGGAGGGGGGCTAGAGAGAAAGCCGGCCAGTGCACAGCTATGGGGAGACCGAGAGAAGGGGCAGAGGCCGCGAGTCGGGGGACTCAGCTGGACTTGCTGATGGACAGTGAAGAAAAGGCAAGACTGGGTGACTCACCGTTCCCCACTCCTGGTGCGTGACCCTGGCACTCCTCTCTCTGCCCTGGCCCGGACAGCACCGGGGCAGCCACAGCTTCCAAAGTTAAGGTCCAGGGCCAGCGCGCCGCCCCGGGCCCCTGCTGGTCAGCGTCGCGTGGAGGGCAGGCCAGCGGTCTGGGTTTCCCAGCTCACGCGCCTCTTGGCCCCAAGACTCTGCCTGGAAGCCCGCTGGGGCCTTAGTTCCGCGGGCTCTGAGCTGGGCCGAGCTTGGGCCTCCGGCACTCACACTTTGGCGCCAAGGCGGCCGCGTCCTCCACCGCCGACCTCTGCGCACCCTCCCCCGGAGGCCGGACCCCGGCCTCGCCCGTTAGCCTTGAGAACGGACTGTCCAAGGTCTCCGTGGGCCACCCTGGCCTGCGGCTGGCGGCAGGGCTTCCAGCCGTCTATCTGTCCTGAGTCCTCCCGCGCTCCGTGGGGACATTGCCATGGTATCTTGTCCGACAAAGGGCCACAGTCTCTTTTCCAGGGCCTCTGACTCCAGGCTGTGCTCTCCGGGTCCTGGCACCGCCTGCTTGGGCCAGGACAGGCCGCGCAGTCAGGCCACACTGCTGTGACGCGCTGAGCAGCCCTAAAGCCAGCCAGAGGCCTGGCGGGGGGGAGCCCAAAGCCCAAAGCCGGCGTCGTCAGCGCCGGGGCCCCAGTGAGTGCTTGCCCATGCTGGCAACATATTCCCAGCCATATGGGCCAACTCAGCCCTCCAGGAAAGCCCCTGGGGCCTGACCTCTAGGGGGAGTGACTGGGGAGAGCAGAAGGGCGGGCTGGCGGCGGCTCGGGTGGGGGGGGGAGTCGGGGATGTCCCGCGCACGCAGCTGGTGCCTTTCTGAGGGGGTGGCAGCCGGTCCTCCTGGGCGTGTCTGCTGGCATCAAAACACGGCGAGCCCTGGGGGAGGGTGTGTCTGGGTGGGCCGGCCGGGTGTCTGTGCTGCGGGGGCGGCCTCGCCGCTCCCAGCCTCCACGGCCTGCACTAGATCCGAGGTGTGCAGCCCTAACTGGACTGGACAGTTCTGACTCTGACCCGCGGGCTTTGATCTCCCTCTCCAGGGCATGCAGCTGCGCTGGGGGGTGCGGGGGACCGGAGAGGGCGGTGCTGGCGGCGGGAGGGGCCGTGCTCACCCTGGCTGGGGAGCGTCAAGCTTGGGAGGGTGAGTGGGCTCGGGAGGAAGCCCCTTTGGGCAGGGCGGAGACCTGAGTGGAGATGGCTGGGAAGTTACCCTTCTGGTTTCTGATCTGGAGGATTCTGATCTGCCAGGCCCACGCCCCTGCCCTGGGCCGCCTTCCTGGCTCTGCCTCCTGCCTGCCGCCTTCCTAGCAGGGTCTGACGCCCCTGGGGTCCCCGGGCTCAGACCAAAGGCAGTCTGCAGCTCTGCAGGCGGCCTGCCGTCTTGCTGGGGGACCCGCAGGACCGCTCTTTTTTTGCGGGCGAGGGACAAGCCCAGCCTTCCTTCCACCGCTCTTTTTTTGCGGGCGAGGGACAAGCCCAGCCTTCCTTCCACCCTGCAACCGTGGCGCCTCTCGAGGGAGTGCTGGCTTATAGAGGGTGTGCTGGCAGCGCCTGGCCTCCCACACCAGAGGAGGCTGCTGGCTGTCACCTGTGTCTTCTCTTCAGCTACTCTTGTCCCGCCTCTCCTGGCCGGCCCCCGTGGCCTCTTTAATACTGGAACCCTGCAGTGCACACTTGGTCCAGGTGAAAGTCCTGGAGTCGGGGGGGGGGGGGGCTGGCGTGTGCGGTAGCCAGCGGCACCCTTGGGGGCTGCACCCTGGCGGCTCCATGCCGTGAGCGGCTTGCTCTGCCTGCCGCCCGCACATCCTGCCCCCTTCTGGTTTGGCTCTCCCCTCGGGTGTGGGGGCCCTTCCTGCCCCTCAGCCTCCAAATGCTCACCCCGGGGTCGGGACCCCTGTGGCCGGGGCAGGGGAGGGGAGAGAAGGTGTAATTAATCATTAGTTTCTTCTCCAGAAATGCTAATCGGGAAAAGCAATTAAAAGCAACTTTTTTCCCTTAGTAATCTGTGCTAAGAGCTGGTAATGAAGTTTAGGGCCGCTGTGACTCAATATTTCAGCTTCACCGACTCAAGTCAAAACAATCCAAGCCCAGGAGTTTGCCGGCAGCTGAGCTGGGCCGGGCCGGGGCCGCAGCTGGGGGTTCCGGGTTCCCTCTTCTCACCGCCCACCCCAGTCTGTGCCGCTTCCCAGGCCCAGAGAAGCAGTCCCAGCCGGGAGGGGAGGGTGTGGGTCCCACAGGCCCCAACTGGGACACCCTGAACTTGGCACCCCAGGGAAAAGGCTGGAGCCGAGGTAGGAGCAGCCCCGGTGTCGGGACAGATGTCGGGGGTGGGGGGGATGCGAACGTGATGGTCGGGGAGAAGCTCAGGGTCCAGGGAGCCCCCCACGTGGGCGCAGGGCCAGAGGCTCCCAGCCGGGAGAGGTGGTGGCCGGGCCCAGCCCTGACCTCGGGGCCTCGGGCGGCCCTCGGCCTGTCGCTCGCTCCTGAGCGCTGGGGGCTGGCTGGTCAGCAGAGGGAGACGATGAGGAATGAGGCGGAGTCCTCAAGTGATGCTGGACAGTGACGTGTGTCCGGGACGAAGCTGGTTGGAGAAGACCGAGGCGGCGGGCGCGTGTGGGGGCCGCGAGTAGCTTTAGGTGTGGCGCCTGGGGAAGGTGCCACTGCTCTGGTGGCATTTGGAGGAGAGTTGGGGAGGGGCCGGGCCCCTTCTTCATCTTTGGAGAAGAGCGAGTGTGAGCGCCCAGAGGCGGGACCGCTC